GTGGACAAGGCTAGCATCAAGGGGCTTGGGTCTAGACCAGGTTTCTAAGCTGGGCCTGGGGAGGGGTTACCCAGCAGGCGGAAAGGAGTCAGAGACGCTGAAGCCTGGGTTGGGTGATTTCTTGAGGAACCAATGTGGTCAGAGGGGGCAGGTTTCAGCCTTGTAGACTGTCGGGGCCCTGCCCCAGGGCAGGGGTGGCTGCCGGGCTCATATAAGCACCCAGCAGCTGAAGTGACTCACCCAGGCTGATGTCACCCCATATCCTCTGCTGCAATCACAGTGAAGCGAGTGTCACGACCCTTTGGAGGAAGTGCATATTTAAGGGGCTATTATTGCCTCGGCCTCTGGAGAGAATGAACAGCCTTGTTACCCCCCGAGTTTACAAGGGCTTTGCTGCCCAGCCCGCCCCACGTCTCAGCCTCTGGGTGACAAAACGACTGAGGACAAATGACTGGGGAGTCACGTTGGTGAGGCCCCGCGAGGGGTGTGAAGGCAGCAGGTGCAGTGAGCACGGGGCCCCCCGAGCTGCAACATAAGGGCAGAATCAGTCACCCCGCACCTCCCAGGGGGAGAGCGAACTCATCCTGAAGCACTGAGGCACTGTATAAATAGCAGCGCTTGCCCTGGGCCGGGTGGCACTGCTAGAAAAGCCTGGACTAACCTGGGGAAGCGGTTGAGAGATCCCCTTTGCCCCCAGGTGGCTGGTGAGGCTTGTTCCCTTCCGCCCAGAGTGGAGGGTGTTCTGAGAACAAGAGGAGGTTAAATGTGACTTATTAATAACAGCGGGGCTTTCCAGAGCACCCCCCGAGCTAGATGCCCTCCCAAAGGGTGGCTCCACCGGGGCACCCCTCCCTGCGGTGTCTCTGGGAACCTGGGAAGAGGTTATTTGGGACTGGATCCGGCAGACGGAGGTTCGAATCTCGGTTCTTCCGTTTATGAGGGGGAAGCCACCCTCTGGCCTCCAGTTGTGTGTCTGCACAGCGGAAAAGCCCCACCGATTGGTGGCACCTGGAAGGCCCCCAGTGGGGGGAGAGGAGAGCTGGGTGGGGACACATGTTTGTAGGGATCCTGCTGGGTTCTGCATTCTCTCTGTGGAAACCCATCGTACCCCGTAAGGTGGGCATGGTGACCCTTCTTTTACAAATGAGGCATCGGTGCTCAGAGGGTGTGAGCCATCTACTTGCGGTCTTGCCCTTTGAACCTGACCCCCACATCTGTGCCCTTTACACGATACGACACCCACAGTCTTCTCAAACCTACAATTATTTTTCCTGCGGACGGACAATAGGAGAATCTCAAGGTACAAAATTGGGATGAGGTGAGTTTCAAACACAGTCTCATATTCGTTTAATTACCCCGCTGTTCAGTCACCTCGTCGGTGACTCCTGGTCACCACTGTCCTTTCTCTTATCTCGCTCTGCCCGCACCCCCAGGCCAAGGTTGGAGAACCATCAACCCCTAAGTACAAGAAGCCTTCGAGGCCATTCCTTCCCGCTCCTCCCTCTGGAGGCGGGGAATGAACTCTGGAACATTAGGGGTCCAATGTCACCCAGAGGAGGCCAGCTATGAGTGCCGGCCGAGCCCCTTCTGGAGCCCCCTCCCCTCCTCAGGACGCACAGTGCCTCCCGCCCCCTCCCCGTGCTGCTCTCTCGGAAGCTGGCGTCAGAGACACAGCATTAAGGGCAGGGACGGATCCCTGCATGTTCCTTTAAACTGGACAGCTGGTCCACCAGACTTCCATTTTCTTCTTCTGGATCCGGGACATCTGGCTGCTTAACAAATGAATGTTTCCATAGAAGGTGGAAATAAAAACTTTTGCTAAAAGACTGGGGAGGAAGGAAGGGTGCGTGCGGCCGGGGGAAACAGGAAGTGCGTTGAGCTCTCTGCCCAGGATGGGGGCCTCCTCCGCCCAGGCCTCCTGCTCCTTCTCCACTCCACTGCCAAGGCCTGCTGCATTCTGGACTTCTAGGTGCCAGCCCCCTCTTCCCACTGTTCCCAGGGCCAGCACCCTCCTACTGAACCTTCTTCCTCCTGTGAGTGTTCCCTCCGACCCCCTCTGGCTCTCTCCTCCTCCTTCATTTTTTTTTTTTTTTTAATTTTTTTTTTCAACGTTTATTTATTTTTGGGACAGAGAGAGACAGAGCATGAACGGGGGAGGGGCAGAGAGAGAGGGAGACACAGAATCGGAAACCGGCTCCAGGCTCTGAGCCATCAACCCAGAGCCTGACGCGGGGCTCAAACTCCCGGACCTCGAGATCGTGACCTGGCTGAAGTCGGACGCTTAACCGACTGCGCCACCCAGGCGCCCCTCTCCTCCTCCTTCTAATGTTTATTTATTTTTGAGAGAGAGAGAGAGAGAGAGAGAGAGAGAGAGAGAACGAGCAGGGGAGGGGCAGAGAGACAGGATCCGAAGCAGGCTCTGTACTGACAGCACAGAGCCCAACACGGGGCTCGAACTCATGAACCATGAGATCATGACCTGAGCCAAAGTCGGCCGCTTAAACGACTGAGCCACCCGGGCGCCCCTCCTTATCCTCCTTATACCGAGTTCCTGCATCGTGTACTTTCATGAGGTCTTGAACTTCCTTTTCTTTATTTGAGGCTGTGCTGCAAGAATTTGCTCAGCCACCTGACACATCGGGTTTAAAAGCCTTCCACTGGCTAGCTGTGTGATGCTCGGCAGCTTGGTCTCTGGACCTGTCTCGTCATCTGTAAATGGGGAGAATAATATGTTTGGGGCAGGTCTCGTGTGTGAGAATCAACCAAACAGTGTCCGTAAAGTGTTTTGCACATTGCAAGGGCACCACAGATGGTCCCTCTTCTTCTAGCACGTTGATTATCCGGCGTTAAGACTCAGCTCCTGCTGAGACCAGCCCCAGTGCCCCGAGGGTCTTCCCTGGGTGGTGCCACGTCAAAGATGTCTTTCTGTGACCCAGAGGTCTGCCCTGGTGCTTGCAGCCCCTCTCTGCCCCTTGCACATGGCAAAGGGATCCTGCTGCAGCCTGCGTCTACTGCATCACCTGCGTCTGGAGCCAGACTGGGCATGCCTCCAAAGCCATCATAATTTCCAGGGTCCGATTACTCAGTACAGTCCGCAGAGGCCCGCAGAGGCCCCAAAGGGAAGAATGACAGAGTGGAAAGGAAATGTGCCTTGGGAACTTGGGTCCAACTTTCTGCTGTGTCGCTAACCAGCCTTGTGTCCTTGGGCAAGTCATTTAGGTTCTTTCTGACTCACCTAGAATTTTAATTAGAAATTGCTCCCCACCCACCTCCCCCAGCCACGCTTTTCTTCCACAAATATAAATTGGGCCTATAGGACCTAGGGATATGAAAGGGAACAGAAGCAGGTGAAACCCTGCCATGATAGCATCATGGCACCCATCATCTGATGAGGGTCCAGATGTGTTCATCTGATGAATAAATGCAGACTTCTGCCCCTGAAGAAGGATTCTTGGTGCTGGAGTCTGACAGCGACCTCGTCAGGGAGGGCAGGGCATGCTTTTTGATGAGGCTGTGACTGAGCCAAGATTGAAGGACAAAGAGGCAGACACTGGCCACGAGGGATGGAAGGGATCTCCAGGCAGAGGACAGGGCCAGCTGGAGAGACCCAGTAGCAGGAGGGGACAAAGGTGTGGGAGGAATCAGAGGATGGCCACTGGGAAGGGTGACTGCAGAGTTGAGTTTTGCCTTCAGTCTCTCCGAGCCCCCGAGATGGTTTTAAAAAGAGAGGATGGCCAATCCACAGGCGGCTGGGAGAGCGATGAGTGAACCTGTCAGCCCCTCATCTCCCCACTCATTTATCAGATGAATGTAACAGTCACCTGGCAAGAGCTTGAAGATTGGGGACATGGCAGAGGATGTTTTGATGAAGGACATTTTGATACACAAAAGGGATGGGGAAAATCTGGAAAGTGAGGTGACATCTCAGAGTTTGGGCCCAGGGGGGATGTTACGTGGGGCCCCCGGGTCCCTTCTGGGGAGCTCAGGGCACTGGGCACCTGGCATCAGAAGGGGGTCAAGACAGGGGTCCCGAGAAAGAAAGGGAGAGTATTCTGGTATCTTTAACACCAAAGGGATCTTGGTGATTTCATAATCAGGGTCGTGGCTAGCCGTTCCTGAATATATCATGGGTAGAAAAAGGAAAACATAGTGATTGTTTGGGGCTTTTACTGAGCCAGTGGTGGGTGCCCTCCAAGCCAATGGGAGGAGCCTGTTATCGACAGGGAAAAATGCGTATGTCCATAACTGAACTTCAATTCAATATGTGGCTCATAAAGACATTTTCTGTCTATGCAACCTGACTTTCTACTATCTTAGGGAATTAGATCCAGATCTGCCTGCCTGTCTGAGCACAGCAGTTAATTGCATGGGGTAGACGCTTGCTGTCAGACCACAGGCAAATCGCTTAGGGATGGTGAATCCCAGTTTCTGCATTATGAGTTGGGAATAATGATATCTACTTCACTGGGTCAGACGGGAGAATGTATGTAGCATGTTCAGCACGGTGTCTAGTCCTGTGGCAGCAGGTGTTGTTACGGCAATTATTCTGTATGTGTGATGTAGCTGTAAAGCTTCTATAGGGCCAGGAAGGCAATGTAATCAATAGCAAGGCGGGCGGTAAGAGACAATAGGGGGTGGTGGGGAGTGTAGCAAACTGGAGAACCCTTGCCTGTCTAAAGGGGGCAGCAAGTCCTCAGCCTCAGCCATTGGCTGCGGCATGAGAACTCAGAACAAACGTGGCCTGACCTTCCCAGAAACGCTGGGAATCCTAGTTTATGACTTTGGTGTTCAATTCAAATAAAAAAACCTCACAAACAATAACCACCGACATAGCTAACAACATTATGGGACGCACAGAACAGGTCCTGGAGCAGTGCTGGACTGCAGGAAGTTAAAACAAAGTTCCAGAAAGGCCAGCGGTCCTCAGGAGTCCGATTTGCCCCACAGAGAAGACTCAAAAAGCACCTGAAGGGCCACGAAGGCAGCCCGAAGTCACTGCTCCTCACCCGTTAGGGGACACGGCAGCATCGTTAAACATGCGTGCACCAGCCTCCCTCGGGGAGGATTTTAAGGAGGACAGCTCTCATTGACCTGCACGTACTGGGGCAGTTGCTCAATGACGGTCCCAGCGGTTTACACTCCCAGCCCAAGAAGCGAGCTCCTGGGGAACCGGAGGGTGTTTCTGGAGTTGCTCTAGGAGGCTGCAATACCGCCGATGTCCACTGGGGGTCTCTCTCGCACCACTGATGGCATCACCACGCCCACGTCTAGCTGGGGCGGGGTTACTGCTGGGGAAGCAAGGTCAGGCCCAGCGTCTGTGGAAGGATTGCCGTGCCCTTCACGGTGATGTGACTGCCTGGTAAGTGTTTACAGAAGCCAAACTTGGATTTTAAGGGACAGCTCTCCTGCCAGCCAGGCAGCCTGTCTCAGTAGTCTTTCCTGTGCGAGGAAAAGTCCTTGGAGACGTTCTCTGCACACTAGGATCTCGTGATGATCCTAAGAGTTTCTGTGCAGGTGAGCTCTGTTGCCCTCATGCCCAGCGTCTCTCAGACGCTGGCACTGAGGAACCTGCCGCCCCCTTCCCTGATAGAGCTGAATAAGAAGTATATTCCTGGGGCACCTGGGTGGCTTAGCCAGGGGTCCGACTCTTCATTTCGGCTCAGGTATTGATCTCGTGGTTCATGAGTTTGAGCCCCGTGTCAGGCTCTGTGCTAACAGCAGGGAACCTGCTGGAGATCCTCTCTCCCTCTCTCTCTGCCCCTCCCCTACTCACGCGCGCTCTCTCTCTCTCTCTCTCTCTCTCTCTCAAATAAATAAACTTTTAAAAGAAGAAGAAGAAGAAGTATATTCCGGGTTTCAGGGATTGCGCTGTTGGGGGCAGTTTTATCTGGTCAAAACTCCCTAGCTGAGAGGTCAGAGATCTGGGTTTAGCTTCCGGTTCTGCCACTTATTAGCCATAGGGCCTGTTTCCTTATCTGTAAAACGGGCCTAACATTGATCTGGAAAAATCGTTTCAGGTATTAAATAGCAGTGCATGTGAAACATTTTAAAAACTGAAACACGTGTGACTCATTTACATGGTTGCTGTAGGGTGAGGTGCCAGCTAACGTTTCCTGTAAAGTGCCACATTGTAAATATTTCAGGCTTTGTTGGTTTTATCGTCTCCGTTACAGCAACTCAATTCTGCTGTCGCAGCCCCAGACGATACAGAGAGAAACTAGTGGGGCCGAGTTTCAACAAAACTTCATTTTACAAAAACGGGCAGTGGGCTGGATCTGGCCCGCGGGCTGTACTTTGCCCACCCGTACAGCCTGGCTTTGTATGGCCTGTGAGCTAAGAATGGTTTTCATATTTCCAAAGGGTCTTAATGCACCAACAAAGAAAGATAGGTGACAAAGGCCAGACTGTTGGTGGCTCCCAAAGACCACAGCATTTGCCATCTGGTTCTTTACAGAAGTTGGATGCATCCTGCTCGCGAACATCTCGGGCACGGCTTAGCCCAGGAGACAGCAGCTCGTCCCTGAGTGTGGGGTGGCCTGGCTGGTAAGTCATAACACAACAGGCAGGAAACCGGGTGGCCCCTGGGACCATCAGTCTCACCAGGTGCGGGACAGAGGGGACGCATGGCTTCCCGGTTCTCTTTTCAGGTGCCTATGTTGGATGGCCCGTTTGAAAGAGGGTCAGAAAGGATTTCATCTGAAAAGGAATCAAGTGCAAGTCAAGTGCTTTCACTTCCTGAATTGTTTCCAGCGCACAAGGTTGTTCTGAACGTGGGCCCTGAGTCATGGGGGAGCCCAGGATGTCTGCTCACCTGGGGAGCGAGGGGATCTGACACAGAGGCCAGAGAAGGGGTGCTGTCAGGCCAGAGACTGGCTTAGAAGCAACATGCTTCTTCCTTGTTCTGGGTTCAGTCACACAAATGAGCAGAGGCAGCAGCCTCCGGGCCCAGAGAAACAGTCCCCAAAGACAAGAGAGAGAACGCTGGGCTGGGGGACGCGTGTTGCGCCCATGAAAGCGATGCCTTCTACGGAGAAGGCCGGGAAGCCTGGACCCTTGGGAGCAGCCGTGTTGGGGCATTGGGCGGGGGAAAGCGGGGCATGTATCACGGTGCTTACTGGTCTGTTTCTGCTCCTCTCCCCTGCCCCCCATTCCTCCCACTGCCCCCGAGACAAGGTGCTGTTAGGAAAATAGGGGCTGCTTGGCCCCACCGAACCCTCTCGTCTACCGTCAGGAAAATGGTGGCTCTCCCAGTATCGTTATGGTCCCGCTCAGCCCCCGGGGCTCGGAACAGGGTCTCCCTTCATCTTCTCGGGCCCTTTTATGGCAGCTCTGGGTCTCCCAAGGAATGGTGCTGGAAAGAAGACTTTTGTCTTTTTTGTACTGCTTTTCCTGACTAAATATCATAGTCATTGCAGAAAATTTGGCAAACAGAGACATGAGTAAAAAGGAAATGTACAAGGGGCGCCTGGGTGGTTCAGTCGGTTGAGCATCCGACTTCAGCTCAGGTCACGCTCTCACGGATCGTGAGTTTGAGCCCCGCATCGGGCTCTGGGCTGACAGCTTGGAGCCTGGAACCTGCTTCGGATTCTGTGTCTCCCTCTCTTTCTGCCCCTCTCCTGCTCATGCTTAGTCTCTCTCTCTCTCTCTCTCTCTCTCTCTGCCCCTCCCCCACTTGTGCTGTCTCTCTCTCTCTCTCTCTCTTGAAAATTAAAAAAAAAATGTACAGAATGATTTTAGACTGAAAACCAGATTAATTCAGGAAACAATTACTTTATTGAGCACCTAGTATGTGCCGGGCGCTGTTCTTGGTGCTGGGGATGCTGCATGAACAAAGAAACGTCCTTGGCCTCTCGGAGTGTCTATTCTAGTAGAAGAGACGGTGAGTAGAGCAGGGGAAGGGCCACCTTTATTGATATGGGCCCAGAAAACGAGGAAGCAACATGGTGGGTATCAGAGGAAGGGCGTGTCAGGCAGAAGGAATGGAAGTGTGGCAGGAACCTGCCTGGTGTGTTCAGGGGTGTGAGGGAGGCCAGCATGGCTGCAGCAGGTGAGCAAAGAGGGTATGGAAGGAGAGGAGGCAGGGACAGCTGGCCGAAGACACGTGGGGACTTGTCGATCGTGGTGAGGGCTTCAGATTACTACTGAATGAGACAGAAATCCAACGTAGGCTCTTGATCAGCAGAGCAACCGACCGGCCTTATGCTTTGAGATAATCACTCTGGACGCTGGATGGAAAGCAGGCGGGGCCTGGGGGTTGGCAGGGGTGGGAGCTGGGATACCAGTTAGGTTACTGCGGTAATGCAGGGGAGAGAGTCTTCCTTGACCCCCCTGGAGCCCCTGGCTGGGGCTGGAAATCCCACTCACGAAGGCCAATCAACAGGAGAAAAGCCCGCACAAGAGAACGCGGACCCAAAGCGGTGACCGGATCAGGAGGCTTTAGGCAAAGAAACGATACAGTTTGAAGAACTGGCAAGACACAGGGTCAGGGCCACGGGCAGCGAGTTTATTTCTACGGCCTTCTCAGCTCCCAGTTCCCTGTCACCAGTGACGTCTTCCTGCCTTTGGGTGCCTTTCACATGGGAGATTTTATCTCCTGGTTTCAGGACAAAAAGAGGGAGGCCTTGTGGCCTCAGCTGTTTCTTAGGTGCCTCGAATTAAAACAATATGCCACAGTGTTGAGTCTTGGGGCAACATGTTTCGCTCCCCTTCGATAGTAATACAAGGCTGTAACAGTGGAGGGAGCTGCCCTGGGGGAGGCCTGGAGCCTCTCCCCTGGGGTTCCTGCTGCTTCTTCTCAGTGGCTTCTCGGAGAGTCCACTCTGGAACCCCAAGATGCCTGGCTGCACAGTTTGAAAACCGCTGGAAGGGAAGGTCTCTAAGGGCACCTCTGGCTCCGGGCTCCCGGGCTCCCGTGTCCCTGCGGGCCAGGCTGTTTGAGGCCCAGACCTGATTGATTCCATGAGAGGCAGCCTGGCTTCCATTTGCCAGGCCTCTGAAAATGCCGACTTGGAAACTGGACGGGTTTTTCAGGGTCCAGAAAGGGGAGGGATTCTGAAAATTAACTCAATTCCCAGGTGCAGAACGTGGCCAGCCCTGCATAGGAATTGTAAGGAGGAGTAAAACAAAGCATTTGCCCCAAGGAACCCACCAGCTGGCCCAGGAGCTAGGAGGTCATACCAATGACAAAAGGGGTCTGTGACCCCCTGGCCCTGACTTGCTTCCATATGCCCTGGGCCCGTGGTTCCCAAACCGGGTTGGCCATGAGGGCACCTGGGAAGCTTTAGACCACACAGGCTTCCAGAGGGTTTTCTCGTAGATCGCTCAGTCTCCTCCTTAGTCTCTCAGAACGTCTCTGGGCTGAGCTAGTGGTCTGTGAAACCACTTAGCACCCTGAAATGTCCTAAGGACACCACCAACATGGAGGGAGATGTTCTCACAGAGCCCCACAGATCTCACAGAAGGGGAGCCCTCACCAGAGAGAGACAACTAGGAGGCGAGGCTGGCTGAACAGGTGGGACCTGAAAGTCCATGCCAGGACCTGAAGAAAATTGGACATTTCCAAGCAGAAAGAGAGAGAGAGAGAGAGAGAGAGAGAGAGAGAGAGAGAAGAAAGGGGGAGGGGAGCAGTGAGTGTATCCTCTGTGAGTGAATGGTAATTTTCTCACGGTTGCCGGGAAGAAAAAAAAACAACAACAACAGCAAAAAACATATCAACAAGACCAGACTGAGAGCCGCCAACTAAAAAGATTTCTCTGAGTCAGACTTCTTTCCTGGAAGCTGTGAACTTTATCCTCCGGCAGCCATTAATCTAATATTAAGGCCCTTAACCTTCTTAATTGTTCTCTTTCAGCATCGGCTGGTTTCATATTAACCTTTCAGTCTTTCCCATAATGCAGTTACCTCCAACTCCAGCCAGCGCTGATCCAGGGGCGGCCGCTGGCCCAGCGCCTCCCTCTCCCGGGCTCCATGGCCTTGTCCTTATCCCTCCGCGGCCTGCCCGCTTTGCTCCCTGATGTGCCCTGAAGGCCCCCAATGGCCCTAGTGTGTGGCTGCCCAGCCTGAGTTCGAGTTCCGGCCTCTCCTCTGAGCAGCGTGTCTGTTTCGAGGGGGGCCTCGACTCCTTGGGTAATTGCTGAGTAAGTGGGAGCATTGGGGACGGTGGGGAGGGTCTTTTGTCCCACAGGAGAGGCCACTGGGGCCCTTTCTCGTCTACAGTCAGGACAGAGCTACAAAGAACCTTGACATTCACTTTCCAAACCCTTATTTTGGGGGGCACAGAGGCCCCTCCTTGAGGTGGGGCTACAGAGTTCAATCAGAAGCAGAAGAGGGGAGACCCCGGGAGGGGACTTCCCTCTGCCTCGCCAAACCCGCTCTGGGCAGGACGAGGACTAGTCGAGGCTGTCTTCCCAACGTGTCCCCGGAGGGGCGAGGCTGGGGCAAAGCAGATTCTTCAAAGCCTGTCCCCGCCAGAGGCCCTTCTCCCAGCTACAGTGGACCAGAGCTGACTCTTCCCTGGCCCTCCTGCCTGGGGGGCTGGGCTCCAGGCTTGGTGTTCGTCTTGGACTTTGGCCTGGTGAGGACACCCTCGGGCATCAGGATGGGAAAAGGCAAGCCCCTCCCTCATGCAGGTCTTTTCCTGTCACTGGGCATGTGAGCCCACTGCTGTCCCCACACCAGAACCGCTCTCTATTTTGTTGTGCTCTCCAGGCACTGCGCCCCTTTCACGAGTGAACGGAGCCCTGGGCTCAGTGTGGGGGGAGTTGAGCTCTCTGCCCCTGGGCCCCTGGTATCCTCTGGGCAGCTCTGCCTGGGGAGGGCGTTCTTCCAGACCTTCTCCAATGTCGATTCCACCCTGGAGACACCTTGACTTCAGCCCCTTTCTTCCCCGAGTGGGATGCCTTTCTCAGTGTAGTCTCACCTCAGGGGACTGGAGGACAGATCCCAGGGAACGGTGGCTAGGCCACCAAAACCCAACATTGCTTCCTTCTCCATGGGGTCCCGCTCAGCTCTGTTTGCCTACAACCACACACAGTGAGGGGGTGTCCCCCAGTGCTGCACCCCCAGGTGCCGGATACAGGGAAGGCCCCCAACCCACACCTTGTGTTGGTAGGCTTAACCTTGGCCTCAAAAGCACTCTGGAAGAGATCTAGTTTCTCCCAGCCACAAGTAGCTGCCATTAGGTTGGGCAGTCATGCACAGCCCTTCACGTGAAAATACGGAGGCCATGTTAGCCTACGGGGGTCATGGGCCCTCCCTGGAGGTACATATTTCCCTAGATTTGTCCCAGCTGACAGGCAAGGGGGGCTAAGAAAACACAAAAACAAAACAAAACAAAAATAAAAACCACTTTGAAACATACACACGGTTTAATAACTACAACAATTAAACACTTCTAAATAATAAAGCACTCTCTTCTCATTTTTCTCTTATCATCGGAGGGTTATTTTATACAACTGGAGCTTTAGAGTTTTTTTTTCCTTTTAGTACATTGGCACAGGTTCAAAATGATATCCAGAGCTGTCCAATTTGCCTATCGCCCCAGACTTACTGATCTCAAGAAGTGAGACTAAGTTTAGCTGGACAGGCTGGGGGCTGAGTTGGGCATCTCAGCGCCGGGGAGCAGCGTCCACCAGGGACCTGTGGTCAGGAGAGCCCAGCCCGGGATCTGCATGAGGGACAACAAGCTGGCCCAGCTGTACTCTCGTGGGGCCTGGGATACTATCAGGAAGATACAGTAAACGAGCCTGATTAAGGGGGAAACAAACATCACAAGGAGAGAAACAAAGCAAGTGATTCCACTCAAATGAATTAAGAGCAAACTCATGAAGCATGGGGTGGGTGTGGGTTTGACTGGAGAAAGGATTGGGGGTGGGTGTGGTTAACCCAGGAAGCAAGCTCTACACCGGAGGTGGAGGCAGCTGAGAGAAAGTAGGGGAAGGTCTCCATATTTGGGTGGGGCCATTAGTGGTGGCGGCAGGGGTGTGGATAAGTGAGGTCTCTCTCTCCCTCCCTCTCTCTCTCTCTCTCTCTTACACACACACACACACACACACACACACACACACACACACACACACAGTTTTGAGGAAGAGGAGCAGAGGGACCAAGCTGGCCCAGAGAAACCAGTCAGTACTCTAAAAAGTCAGACTCAGGATATTGCAACACCTCCTCTCGCCCCCATCACCCCTGCCCGTCTCGAGTTCAGGCCTGCTGCCTGGGGTGGTACAGTCATTTCCATAGCAACCAACTGTTCTGTCTCAGAGACATGACTCTGACTCCAGGTGGGTTACGAATAGAAGGCACACACGAAACTGCTACGCGACAGAGATCTCGTTGCCCAGCAAGCGCCCCTGCTAATAAAGAAAAGGTACAGACCGGAAGATAAATGGAACAGGGATGAGCAAGGACTACATTTGGCATGAGGCACCGGCTGTTTGCTGAACACAACAGTAGCCATCTAGTACTTTCGACAAGAATGATGCCGGCAAGCACAGCCAGGACAGCCTCCGTCAGCCAGCAGGCTGAGGGCCATCGCAGGGACGAGCATGCACAATGCTGGGTTTGTAGCTGGAAAGGGGATGCCTTCGACGTGTCCTCTCTATCTTGCACATAGTCCAGATGCTTGCTGCACGGCAGCACCTCACAGGATCCCAGCTCTCCTGCGTGTGCAGGCGTGTGTGCGTGAATTCTCTCAAGGAGGACTCATCCACGCTCCTTAGGAGTTAGTAACCCAAGCCCAAGCCTTACTAATTAGAAACAACTGGAGGAAGAGTAAGTCTGAGTTACCAGGTATCTCAGGAGAGAAGCATCATATTGTTCTGAAGGCGTGACCGACACAGTGCCTTTGCCGGGCAATCAGGCCAGCCTGAGTCTGCTCTTTACGGCCCTGCATGGCCGAGGGCAAGCCCCTTGCCTGTCCTGGTCCTCATCTCATAGAGGAGGCGGACGGACTTCATGACCTCCAGATGCAATGCTTCCTCTAGTCCTTGTTCTCAAGTTCTGTCTAGTGCAGAGGCTGGCTCTCAGTGACTCACCTGCAAACGTCAGGTTGGTTGGATGTGCTGAGTGTTTTCATAGAGTGGAATCAAGACCATGTGCTCATCTGCCATTCATCTCTGCCTTCAGTTAACATCGATTACTATGTGGCAGTCACAGGGCCAGGCATCTGGAATCAAGGTAAGAAGTGATGGTGGCTTGGGGCCCTCCCAGCTGCCTGGGGAGACGAGCAGGCCATGCTCAGACCCATGGGGTGCAGGCTGGCATCCACCTGCGGACAAGCACACCCAGGTCTGGGGGAAGGTGGCTCTGGAGGCACCCGCAGAGCTTTCTCCACACCCTGGGCGTGGCGGGAGGCAGCCTTGGGGAGGAAGGCAAGCTGCCTAGAGGGGCCGTGCTGGGGAGACCCCCAAATGACCCAGAGACCGCAGGGCGGCAAGATGGATGAAGTTGAGAGCAAACAGGCCATGCCAATGTGGGTGCCCTGACATCTTCGTTCTTCTCAAAGAAGTGGAAACAGACCACTCAGAGAGGAAAGGCAGTAAGTTAAGGGAAAAGAGTGAGATCTGGGCAGATGTGTCCCTCCAGGAAATTCGAGGTGTTGCGGGTGGCCAACAGGGTTAGGCCATCATCTCTAAGGCCCTGGGGAGGTGCTGGGAGTGAGGACCCAGACTTGGGAAAAGATTAAGGGAACAGGTAAGGCTGCCAGAAGGCCTCCTGGGCACAGCAGGCAGGGTGTTCTCTCCCCTGCCAGCACTGACAGAGGGGTGGCTGAAGGCACGAATTTAGTGCAGGGCAATGGTCGTCTCCCTTGAAACCCACAGAAAGATGGGGGGAGCATTACAGAGTGAGGTGCAATGGCGAGCCTTGACCAGGGAGAGAGAGCAACCACCCGTCTGAGTTTTCCACGCTTCTCTACTAAAAAGAATCAGAGACTCACAGAGCTGTTCCCTGAAAACCCATCAGCTAATCATTCAGCACGTGTTCACCAGCTAGTGCTTGGTATTATTTGTTATGTGAAGCATTCTTGGGGCTCGAGACGTCGTCGTCCGTGCCCTCGAGTTACTGTACCGCTGGAAGTTTACATGTGCACCTGCGAGTCTGTGTGGGCTAAGCTATATTCTGTGAGGGCTAAGCAAGGGCACAGAAAGAGTCACGCGAGAGAAAAAGGGATCTCCTGGGATTGCCTGCTTAGGAAGTCTTCACAGGAAAATGGCTATTGCGAAGGCGTTGAAGGGTGTCTAGATGGAGAGGACGAAGTGAGAGCACAGGATGTGTTCAGGGAGGCTGGGGAGAGACCAAGCTTGCAGAAGCATCCTGCCACCAGCTGCCACCAGGTGGCGCTGATCTCAAAAGGTGGGGCGCCAGCGTGGGAAGGGAGACATTTGCTGACGTTGGACGTACACTTCAGGTTTGAGACCTGGGTGATAGATGGCTGGGCCTGGCCAAACTCCTTAAATTCCGCGTGCTTCAGTTTCCTCTTCTGTAAACTGGGAAAGGGAATAATGTTTATCTCCAAGTCGGGAGACCGGAACTGACACCGACAGTGGGCAAAGCACCCAGTACTTAGTGGGTCTCAGGAATGCTGGTCCCTTCCCCTCCTGGCCTGTAGAGAAGGCCGAATTTGAGACTGAAGGGGAGTAAATATTCCAGAAGTCCTCCGACTGCCCTTGCAGGGGTAAATACACAGATTGATCAGTGGGGAAAAAATGTTCTCTGGCAGCCTGTGGGGTGAGTTGACCATGCATGCTTGTCTCCGGATGTTTGACTTCCTGAATCTTCCCCGAACAATGCCATCTCTGTCATGGCACCGCTGGCAAGCAGTCCCATGAGAGCCAGGTTCTTGTCACATGTCCTTTTCCTGGAGTGAGTCACTAGAGAATTGGACTGTCGTTGTAACCTTCATCAGCTCAGGGAGGTGAAATGGGTGGGAATGAACACAAACACAGTACAACTTGGTGCTTAATGTTCCTTTCCATCAACATTTTGCCCCGGGGCCTTAACCTTGCCACTCAAAAAAAAAAAAAAAAAAAAAAAAAGGCAGGGTCGCATAATGAAGGAGATAAACTGAGTGACCCCCTTGTAATCCACAAACAAAGGGCCTTTCAGTAGCCCGAGGTCCAAAGTCTTATCTATTGCAATAAAACCTGGCCAGTTCCACACTGGAGGGAGAGTGGGTGATCCCAGGGAGACATGTCAGCCCCAGCACAAGATCAGAAGAGGCATGTTGATACTTCCCCAAGGGAAAAAGGTGACAACGAACAGAGATGGGGACAATCGAAATAACTGCTGGGATGACGTCTAGAATTTAAACTTTGAAAATCGAATGAAGGTCTTTCCCTGTTTGGCTGTATAAACATAAAATCATTTCAAGATGGCAAGCTTAAAGCAAACACACAAATCTACGTGTAACCTCCATGACCCTCGTGTTTCCCCAAACGCGATGTGAGCTTGGGAGCGATGGTGTGTTTAACCCGTGCCGCTCGCGGGGCGGGGCAGAAAAACAGCAGGCTGGGAGTCAGGACAGTCTCCGTGCCACCCTCCACTCTGGCCATGTGACCTTGGGCAGACCCTCCCCCCCTCCCCTTCCTTGTCTGGGACTGAGGTTCCTCAGCCGAACGAACGATGGATGGTTTGTCTAGATAATTTAAAGTTTCCTTTAAACACCCTCCCCCCACCCACCCAAAGGCTTTGGTTTTCATGGCTACTCATACTTTGAGCTTTAACGAAAAAAGGAAAGGGGCCTGGCCTCTATCCTTACCAGTCCCATGTATCACCCCACAAACACAAGCCCAGTAGGGCAGAAGGGGCTCCTCCTTCATGGAAGCTCTGGACCTACATTTGTATATTGCAGTGGAGCCCAAATGTTTGCTCCCAGGGTGGGGGTCAACGGTCACCCGGCTTTCTGACTTGCTGAAGGCTCACAGATCATCCCGTGAGCTGTTCAAATTCACACCCGGCTCCCGTCGGACACTAGCTCAACTCTGCAAGTCAGTCTACAAACATCAGTGTCACTGCCATAGCAGGTGCTAATGCTAGTCGCTGTCGGGGGAACCAAGATGAGCAAAGCAAGCACGGCCCCAACCCTGCGGAAGGTGACATCCTAGCAGGTGCTTGTGTCCAAGCCCAACGGAAGCACACAGCACTGTGACAACACTTGAGGAGTGGTGGGGGTGGGTGGTGATAAGAGCAGTCCCAGCTGGGGTCAGGCTTCCTGGAGGAGGAAGACTCTGACCTGAGATCTACAAGAGGGGCAGGACGGGGACCGCCTGAGGCCGGAAGAGCATGCCAACTGATGCAAGTGCTCGAGTAAACACAGTGGCCGAGGAGCACAAGTCCTGCTCAGGAGTAGCAAACAGCCTGTCTTGCTGGAGCTTCAAGCATACGAGGGAGATGAGCTTAGACGCCCAGGCAAAGGCCGATTCATAGAAAGTCTGCAGAACGCCAAGGAATTTGAACTTTGGGACGGGACATGGGACATCATGGGCATTCTTGAGCAGGGATGTGTCTTGGTGAGACTTGTACCCGGGAGAGGAATCTGTCAGCGGAATGGACTGAAAGGGGAGCCAGATGGGGGCAGAAGGAACAACGAGGGGATTATTTTGATAACCCGGATCGGTGGGTGTAGCCGTCTGAGCTGCAGTGAGGAGACCAGGGTTGGAAAGGAGGGAGATTGTGGAAAGGTGCCGTAGAGGCAAGGAGTGGGACTCTGTGCCTGATGGGATGTGGGGGTCAAAGTCACACTGAGGCAGAGAGAATGCTGCAGGGGAAATCCAGCCACCTGCCCAGCCTGGACCCACGTGACAGATCATCCCGGGGGCGTGGAGGGTCAGCCCAAAGTGCCCTGAGGTCAAGAAGCGAATAGCTTCAGGAAGGCGACTACGGTGGCAGTGACTGTGGGCTCTCCTTCCGCTGTTTTACCAACAGCGCCCCTCATTTTCAGCCAGACGCATGCCTCCTACCCCCACTCTGAACAAAGACGCTCTCTAACTCTCTTAGCCCTAATAATCCGTTAGTCGTGCATCACATGACTTCATCTGGTTAGTCAATTTGTAATCAGAAGTGTCAGACTCTTGGGAAATAGTTTTCCTGCTGGTTAGAAGGCAATACGACTTTAAGAGGATTTAGGTCTTGTAGTTACAATCAGATTTGAGTCCTGCCTTTTCTGTACTTACATAGTGGATATCTTTTGTGCGTGCGTCCGACTTATTTATTTTGTAACTGGAAGTTTGTACCTCCTAATCCCCATATTCGGGTATGGGGATCATCCACCTACTGGACACCTTAGCCGGCCAGGAACTCCTCTCCAGAACACCTTTGGCTTCTGCGGGTGTCTACCGCTGACATCCTTAACGCTTGTGCATTCAGGGAGCCACCGTATGACTCTCTGTGTTCTAGGGGATACTTTGTTCGTTGTACTGATCGCAGGGGACAGGCACACGTGAGGAGCCCAGAGGAAGCTCAGGTCAAAGCGTAGCTGCTGGGGAGGACAGAGGAGCCAATCCCCGCCTCCCAGCCCTGGGAAGGGCACCTAAAGGTGAAACTGGTCTTAGGAGGAAGATAGGAAGATCAGCTCCGTCCCTGCTGAGGTTGTGGGGTTCTAATCAATAACTGGTCGTGGTTAACATAGATGGAGCGCTTCCTCTGTGCCGGGCAACGCTCTAAGATTTAAATGCATCGCCTGACGATTCCATTGGAGACAGATGTTACTATTAACCACACCTGCAGACAGGGAAACTGGGCATTGAGATGTGAGGCTCGTGGTCACACGGTTTAGGAGCCCAAGAGCTGTCGCCCGAACCCAGCTGTTTCTGACGCAGGGCCCTTGACCTGGGGTATCGGCTGTTCTAGGGGGGTTAAAAAAACTTCTTCCCCACAAACTCCCTTTTCCAGGAATGTATCTCTTCTCGGTGACATCGATTCCATCCTTCGTGGTTTGTCTGAGAAAATCCCTGCTCGCAGGCTACCTTCGCCGTCCCGGGTTACCGTATTTGGAGTTAGAGAGGGGCTTTCCACGGGGAGCGGTGGGATGGAGAGACCTCTAATTTGTAACATTTGCCAAATGTCCGTGGTGAAAATGCTCCCACCGTGACCTATCTGAAGCTGTCGCTGCAGCTTGTAAGAGCCCTGAATATGTGGGGCACCTGGGTGGCTCAGTCAGTTAAGCGTCCGACTTCGGCTCAGGTCACGATCTCACGGTCCCTGAGTTCGAGCCCCGCGTCGGGCTCTGGGCTGATGGAGCCTGGAGCCTGCTTCCGATTCTGTGTCTCCCTGTCTCTCTGCCCCTCCCCTGTTCATGCTCTGTCTCTCTCTGCCTCAAAAATAAATAAACGTTAAAAAAATTTAAAAAAAAAAAAAAAAAAGAGCCCTGAAAATGTAATAACTGGCTCTCATCAGTCGGTTCCAGCCCAGCACTGGGGCCCGGAGGATTGCATTAGAGCTAAAAGGGTCCTCCTGCTAGCTGGGCATTTGAGGAACACAGGTGGCATCAAGGGCAGGCCCTGGAAACTTCTGGTGCTCTTCCAGGTGGGCCTTTGAGGGGGTCCCCACCTGCTCCCCACTAGAGGTCTGGCCCAGGGCGCTCTGGGAGGCAGGGCTGGGGCCTGTGCTGGGGCGGGTCCGGGGGGCTCACCAGTCACTATGGGTCCCGAGGCCCCGCCCACCCCTCACCACCTGAAAACAGCTCCTGCGGCCAGCAGGTGGCAGCACGCTCGCGTTCAACACCCGCGGCTGAGCAAAGTGAGGGGCCTTTGTTCTGGGCCAGAGGCGGTGTCACGAAGAGAAAGGCCCAGAGGGGCAAGCTAATCGGCCTGTCCTTAGCTGACCCGCGCCTACAGAGCCAGTGGACGAGCTCCCGCAGCTTGATCTAATGAAAGCAACCTTAGCAAACAAGAGACAGCCGTCCCAGCTCCTGCCCGCCCGCCCATCCTTAGGGCTTAGGCCCGGCCTGGGGCGGCACCACGCAAACAGGCACCCGGGCCTTTCAAGAACCGAGCCAAGTGCCAAGGATGTGTTTCCAGTTCGGAGGAGGGAAGCTCTTTACTCCTCCCTGCTACCCCTACCCACAAGCCTGTGCTGCTCCTTATTTTGTTGACTGGATTCTACTGGAGGGTCAGCCCCTCCTGGGATAGTGGGAGTTCTAAGTGGCTTACCTGGGATCATCCTGGCTATAGCAATGAGAGACCCAGGTCCTGGGAACCCCCAGTCCTGGGAGCCATCCACTATCCTCCTAGTCGGAGTGGCCTCCTGGCACACAGTAGGCGCTTTCTGTGTGGATGCTGCTGATGGCGGTGCTGAAGGAGGGGGTTGGGGGGGGGGGCAAGCACAAGTCACGTGGGATCACGGGCCTGACCAAATCCAACAGGCAGGATTGGATTTCATTCATTTGCCAAACGTGCTCCTTTTGCTTTTTGTCGCAGGTAAGGGCCAGAATATGTAAGGGGGAAGCTCTGGAGCAGTCCACCTTCTCCCCCTCACTTTCCATCTTCGACCTCCCTCCCACTCTCCTGCCGTCACACCCGCCACCTGCGCCACCTGTCTGCACAACCTTGCAGTCCGGGGCCCTCCCGGAGTCCCACAGCAGAGAACTCCATGTTCCCGGGCAGGGTGGGGCTGCTTATGGGGAAAGGTGGCAGGGGTGGTGAAGAGGCAGGCCAGAGGAGGGATGAGGCGGATGGGAGCCTCTTCAGAGCCACCAGCAGGGCGGAAGCTGTCCAGAGGATCCCTCAGCCTGTGTTCCCTTCTCCTCCTGTAGCGCAAGCCCCATTGCGACGTGGCTTGCCTGCTTATGTCACTGTCCCATCCTTGGAAGTTTTCCTTCTTGGCCAAGGGCTTAGCTCAGAAGAGTCAGGCTCAGCAAACACTCACCTGCAATGTGGCTTGAATCAGGGAGAGATCTTTGCTTAAACCAATATAAGCAATTTGCAAACTCTCTACCCTGCTCTGGACTTTGGGAAAAAGAGCAGACCTCTCCCTGTGGCTCCTAAGTTCTGCACAGGTGGGTTGTCACTGACTCCACAACCTTATCCTGTGCTGTCGTGCCCAGCACTTACTGTGGTGCTCACCCTGGCCTTCCTCCAGCCTGTAGAGACGCCATGCTCTTTCTTGCCTCTGAGTCTCCACTTGGCCCTCCCCTCTGTGTGGGTGAGAATAGTAGTGGGATCTGGCTCAGGGGGGCTGGCCCCAGAAGCCATGCGAGAGGGTCAGGTTGAATCTTTGCCCCTCTGAAGGATGAGAAGGAATCATATCATCCACTGGAGAGCAGGTGTGGACATAAGAACACTTTCAATGTGGCAGGAATCAACTCTTCTCTGGTCATCCTGTTAGGAAGGAGTTGTTGGTGCTTAGAAATATAGACCTCTCGGGGTGCCTGGGTGGCTCAGTCAGTTGAGCCTCAGCTCAGGTCATGATCTCACCGCTTGTGCGTTCGAGCCCCGCGTCGGGCTCTGTGCTGACAGCTCGGAGCCTGGGGCCTGCTTCGGATTCTGTGTCTCCCTCTCTCTCTGCCCCTCCCCCGCTCACACTCTGTCTCTCAAACATAAATAGACATTAAACAAATTTTTTAAAAATTAAAAAAAAAAGAAATATAGACCTCTCACGAGCTTTGTGTCTCAGATTCTTGAATAACTCACCACTCCTCATGTTACAATCCATCACTTAGTGAGCTCGTATTTACATTCCATTAGTCACAAATTAATGCAGGCATAGCCCTCTTCTAGGTAAAAATTGACCATGCAGGTGAAATCCTGCTGACTCCCGCCTTCCAGCCAACATTTGGATGTACTGGAGCCTACATTAACCCTATGATCTCAGTAGAGGGTCTTAGCAGTTGGTGGTTTATATGCGTGGGCGCTATCTTCCACCTTAAGGAACAAAGACCAGGAGTCTGGGCTACTTGTAGCCACCAGATAATGGTCCATGAATATGGAGTTTATTGAAGAAATGCTGGGTTTGTGACATGGAGTTTCCCAGGTAAACCAAATCCTAGATAGAAGGCACAGCAACTCTGCTTGTGAAGACACGGGTATCTCCAAATCTCCAAAGCTTTGAGGGATAGGGAATCTTTCCTGGCATCAGAGAAGGGCCTCGACCCCATCGCCAGGACTAGAGGAATCTTAACGGTTCCATAGAGACGCGGCTGTCAGCTCTTCACCGACCCTTTGTTGAGCTGTGAAACGACTCTCGCGGAAGCTGGTGTGCCTTGCCCCTCTGTGAGCGGTCACCTTCGGGATCTTGAAGGTGGGCCAACCCCTTGGGTTTAAACCACCTTTGTTCTTTTCAAAGAGCCCATGTCGGCGATTGTGTCCTCCCTAGGTTAGTTCCAGCCACCTTCCCCTTATTGTTCTGTGTGGCGGAAGCCAAGCAGCTGGGAACTGTCCCAAGATCTGGGGCCTCAAGGCAGTTTTAGGTATGTTGGGGCATCTTTGCCCCCATCAGTTTGCCCCCATCAGTTATCTAGAGGTGTGAACTCTTAGGTTGCCCATGGAAGCAATCGAAGGCTGGGAAGTGAAGGTGTGGACGCGGGGACGGGAAAAATGGAGGGCAAGGCTGCAAGTTACCTGTGTCCTGTTTGTTTTTTCTGGGCAATTTTAGTTCTTTCTGCTCCTTCATGCCTGTGCCTGGAGAGCCCCCTGGACTGCCTCTCCCCCACTCAGCATGCCTTTTTCACCTCCTTGGCCACGGCCACTTGCTCCGAGGTAAGACGCCCCACCCTCCCCAGAACACAGAGTTCTGTCCCAGAGTCTGGGAGGCAGACGGTGGGTGTGGAGGGAGGAGGGGCCAGGACAGTCAGAGCCACAAGTGAGGAGGAAAAAGAAAGGGACTGTTTTAGTGTTTCTCCCCGACTCCCACCTGTTGTCAAAGAGCCAAGGTGGCAGGTTTTTGAAATCAAAAGAAATGACATGTTGCTCACCGGATTTGGTGATCTTCTGCAATCCCTCCTTGACTCGGCCCCCTGCTTCAATACCACCACCACCTGCCATAACGTTCATGGGGTGCCAGTGGGTGCCGGGCTCTGGGCCAGGCACAAGGGTTGGGAGTTTATGTCATATTGGGATGGACAGTCAAGGAAACAGCCAAAGGCTACGGAGGGTGGCAGAAATATAAAAGCTCCCTTCCGAGAATTGGAAACATCATATACATATATATTTTTTGAACACTGGCTTACCTTCCTTTTTAAAGGAGCCCCAGCTGCCCGTTCCACAATGGACCCAGGCATTCTCAGCACTTAAAGTGGGAAAGGAGGGGTCTGGAGACTGTGCTGATTCTGTTGACAGGTGATGGTCCCATTGTATCATCTTGCCTGTCCACTTGGGTCCCCACGGGTGAAGGACAGCAGGCCAAAGAGCTTGCCCCATAAGACCTCTTTCCTTAAGGAAACACAGTCTGTGGTCTCAAGACCCTTATGTGGGTGGACACTTCGGACACCCTAGTGAGCCCCTGATATGGCAGTTCCTATAGAGGCCATGTTGGAGTCAAGGCTACTTACCAGTGGTCTTAATGTGGACAAAGAATTGAAGAATTATCAGTTACTATTACACACAAGAATACAATCATAACTTTGCATCCATATCATGGAATACTAGTCAATAATAAAAGGAACTAACTATAGATACGGGCACCCAGTTGGATGAGTCTCAAGGCAATTATGCTGAGCAGAAAAAAAAAGAATCTCAAAAGGTCACATACCATATGATTTCACTTATGTAACAATATTGAAATGAAAAAATTACGGAGATGAAGAGTAGTCTTGTGGTCGCCAGGAGTTAGAGGTTGGTGGGAAGAGAGCAGCTGTGGCTCTAAAGGGGTAGCACAAAGGAGCCCTGTGGACAGTGAAGGACTCTGAACACAGCGGTGGCTATGCAGGAGAGAAAATTGCGCAGAACTGCACACACACACACACACACACACACACACACAGACGAGTGCTTGTAAAACTGGTAAAGTCTAAGTCTGAATTCACTCTGGATTGCACCAGGGTCCATTTCCTGCTTTTGATCTTGTGCTATAGCCATACGGGCGTTACCATTGCAAAGGCTGGGTTAAGGGTCCGTGGGACTTCCTTGTACATTTGGCGAGAGCGGGGGTAAAACACAGATAACAAAATTTATACTCCAAACTACTTTTGTGTAGTTACGGGGGGCCGTGGCATTAAATGCATTCACGTCGTTGTCCAACCACCCCCCAGATCCATTTCCAGATCTTTCCATACTGAGATTCCATGTCCATCAAATGGTAACGCCCCACGCGCCCAGTGCCAGAGCCAGTGACAACCATCCTTCTACCGTGTGTCTCTATGAGTTGCCCAGTCTAGGTTCCTCGTGTAAATAGTGTCGTACGACATTTCTTCTTTTGTGTTTGGCTTGTTCACTTAGCCTAATGTCTTCAAGACTCATCCATGTTGTAGTACTTAGCAGAATTTCCTTCCTTTTAAAGGCTGGGCCATATTCTATTGTACGCGTGTACTACATTTCGTTTCTCCAATCATTCGTCAATAGAGGATTGGGTTGTGTCTACCTTTTGGCTACTGTGATCGTAGCATATGTGTATGTTTTGCGACTTTCTTTGAATTTATAGTTACCTCAACACAAAACGTTACAAAGTGTAATCGGAAATAAAATCTGTGAATTCGCTAATTCCTTGCTCGGCTGAGTGTGCAAAGCAGCGTTTACTGTTCAACTTTGAACTATTTTCCCATTACAGAGGTAGTTTAACTTTTGTAGGGCGTATAGACCCTGATTTCCCCCCTCTGGCTTTTAGGGAAAGAACAACAATACGTGACGGTCCACAGGACCGTGCATGGGAGCCTATAACCCTGAATCACTCTGGCCCGTAGCACTGTTGACAGATGTAGATCAAGAAACGGGAAAGGAAATGTCTAGCCTTGTTGAAACTGACAGATGATTCCAGTAAAGGCAATGACGTTTACATAAAGCCAGATTTCAATTCTACAGAATATGAAATCATTATGCTACGACCTGATACAAATACTCACCAGGAGAGGGGGAAACTTGGCTCTGGAGGACTCATTTGTGTTCCAAGTGTTTTCCCCATTGGTGGTTTGGCCAACATCCCTCGGTCCATCTGTGTGCTGGTCTAGAGGACTCAGAGGATGTCCGCGCACAGAGTGGACAGCACCTCCTCCGGGGGTGACCGGATGCCCTGGAGTGGGCGAGGGGACCCCACAAATCTAGGCCCCTGGGAAGCTGCACTGGGCCTAAGGGTGGGCTGAGAGGATTGCATTCTTTTAGGGCAAGACAGGCTCAGCAGAGGGGTGCACATGGCTGCTGCCATTAATGGTCATCTCCCCGAAGCTGTTTCTGGAGGGCCTCCCATTGCATAGGGGGCTGATAGAAGTGACACAGTCCCAGCTGCTGACATGCCGTCATCTGAACACAGGGTCATTTTTTTTTTTTTTTTTTTTTATGAAGGTCTAGGGGCTTAGTGAACTCCCTGACACTGTTTGCCAAATTTCTCTTTGTGCACGTTTTTTTCTCCGGAGAAAGCTCGTCTCTTTCCTCCAATCTGCAAGGGTCCGTAACCCCCATAACATAAGCAGAACCTTCTGCTAATAACTGCTTCCGGGAGACCTCACCTTAGGGACTGACTCATCCAGCTTCTCCCTAATGTGGCCCAGGGGGCAGGAGAAGACCCCTCAGTGTGCTTTGACCTGTTGGGTTGATCCAACACAGCCCCCATTTTCTCTCTGTCCTTTTCTTCTGTTTCTTCCCACTTCCTTTCCTGCTTTGTGTCCTCTCTTCCCGTCCTACTTTTCCTCTTCCCCCCTCCTATGCTGGCTCTCGTGTCATTTTCTTGTTTGCCCCTCCCGTGGTATTGATTTGACATATTAATCATTACAAGGACAGATAAAAATTCCACTGTGCTTCATTAATCCAGAGGAAAATACCATGTCAGTGGGTGAGTGCTGTGGGGCGCACTCACACGTTCCTCCGGGGGTCCAGGATAGTGGAAATTTCTCAGTTTCCATTTGTACCAATACAGGAGGCCATTGTGGGAGGCCACGGTGAGCCCGGTGGGGGCTGGGCTGGGGGAGGGTGAGAATGTGGGTGGGCTGGCTCCGATCGTGATCACATTAGTCACCCATCAACGGACCCTGACAGACCTTGGGCTATTCAAGGACTCCAGCTGTAGAGGCTGAATTGTAAAACCCTATGAGGGTTGCCACGACCAGAGCAGTGTGACTTTAATAAGGTTAAAGTTGGGCATTTTTACAGCTTTTATTCTGATAAGGTTCTTACTCACACGAGGGGGAACTAGAGAGGGTCTGTCCACACCTAGCCGGTCAGGGCTGGGGATGTGGTCAGGCACGGCCTCGTGTCCAGGCCCCTGAGGGTGTCTTTGGTTGTGCTGGGTCCAGGGTTCCAGGCACGAGTTCTACCCTGCTCCCCCGAAACCCGTTCACCCACGTCTAGACTCTGGGACTGATAGGCGAAGCGAATCCAGGTATCGATTTCCAGGAAGAGTCCTTGAAACCAGCTGAGTTTATTAGAGAGAAGTGAATGCCCTGACATGGTAGTTACATTCCCAGCGTAATGCCGAATTCCAATGCCTTTGTTAATATCCTCTGGCCGAGGATACTCTACTGTCCATCTGGATCTGTCCATCCCTCAAATGGCCTTTCCTACCTTCGTCCTCCCGTCCTGACCCGGGGAGGGATTTATCCCTCCCGGGGCACTTAGACCATCCTTCTACAGCAGCGCCGACCCCCGGGTAATGAGTTCTTTGTGAATGTGATCTCACCCCATCAGACCGGGAGCCCTCCGTGTAGGGTCCTCCTGGGTCTGTGCTCCTTGAGTGGTCGGTAGGTGCCCTGTCGTCACCCACAAATGTTAAAGGAAGGAGGGATGATTTAGCAGGCGGCTCATCCCCTCTCCTGGGAAGACGGCTGAAATCCCACGTCTTCTGTTCGGCGATCATCTGCGCTCACGAAGAATGGTAAAAAGTATAATTTCTAAACAGGTCACTAGTTTCTTGGAGGAGGTCCACGCATCCACAGCGTCTGCCTGGGTCGTATGCCCATTCGTGTAAGTTTCGAATGCATCAGATGGCCTTGTCTGTGTCCGTTATGTTGCGACGTGGAATCATTTACAAAGATCTTCCCTCAGAGGGGACGAGTCAAGTGAACGACACTGATTACGTCCCCATCCTGTGTCAGGGCTGGCACTAGGCCCTGCAGAAACGCAGAGTCAAGAAGTCCCTGTTGCACGGAGCAAGGTCGAGTTGTCAAAGAAATGTGGTGAGTGCACACGAAGTCCTTGTTTGTGTGCCAGCCGTGAACCGCCGTGTGGGGATGCAAAGATACAGGCACAGCCTGGTCCCGTGAGCAGCTAAGCCATCCGTGGCTGGATGGGCTCTCAAAATGCACCTGAATATTTTCTGGGTGACCGACCCCCAGACTGCAAGCCTGTGGGAGCGGAAGAGAGGAACACGGCGCAGGGAAGGGAAGACACCAATGGGAAGGAGGACCTAACGCCTTCCTGAGGCTTGTAGTCCGATGGGCCCCAGATGCCACCTCGTTTTGAGAGTAGAGCTGGAGTTTGCCCTCTGGGTCCGAGATGGATGGGAACTCTTGGGGCCTCTGTGGAGCTGATCCTCCAGCTAGGCCCTGGGAACCCCCTTTCAGGGCTGCTTGGATGAGGGGTGCCCAAGCCTGGGGCTCCCGGGGCTACTCTGGCCC